GCCTAAATCTCTCTGTCAGAGGCTTGCTAGTATTTGTGCTAATTTCTGGTGGTCTAATGGGAATGATCAATCATCTGGTATACATTGGAAAAGCTGGCAGGCTGTTACTCTCCCCAAAAAGGCAGGGGGGTTGGGATTCCATGATCTCAATCTGTTCAATGAGGCTCTCATTTTGAAGCAAGTGTGGAGAATTGCCACCAATCCCAACCTACTTGTCAGTAAACTTTTGAAGAGCAAATATTTCCCCCAGGGAAACATCTTTCAGGCCAAAAAGCACAGTAGCTCTTCATGGTTGTGGTCCACCTGGGTTTCAATCAAGAACAAACACAAGCATTGTTTCAGAGTGCAAATCAGAGATGGCCTTTCTACCAGAATCTGGCAGGACCCTTGGATTATTACTAGTCACACTGGAGTTCCTCCTTTACCTGATGGTAGGGAATCCAACTTACAATGGGTTTGGGAATTGCTGGAAGATGGAGGGAGGAAATGGAACACTCAACTGCTGAAAACCCTCTTCAATGAGAATGATTGTGCTTGCATTCTGAAGATAAATACTCTTGACCCAGGGAAAAAAGACAGATGGGTATGGATCAAAGGAGATAACCAGGAATTTACAGTGGCCAAAGCCTACTCAAAAATGGTGAATGACAAGTTCAATAACCTGGATATAGCTGAAGGAAGTAAAGGAGCTGGCACTCTAAGGAAGATCAGAACTAGAAGCTGGAAGTTAAACATTAAAGGCAAGCTCAAACACTTTCTATGGAAGTGTTATTCTGATGTCCTTCCTACCAAGACCAAATTGAGAAAGAAAGGATTGTTGGTAGACTGCATTTGCCAAACATGTGGTGAGGACCTTGAAACAATTGAGCACATCTTCTTTAAGTGCAAGAAGGCTAGGGAAATGTGGAAAGCTGCACCTGTGAACTGGGAACTAACCCAAGTTCCCAACACAAGCTTCAAGCAATGGTGGATTGATGTATGCTCTGTGAACAAGCTTGAAGTTTCTGAAGCAAGAATAGAGCTGACCACCTACCTTTTGTGGTGGTTATGGAAAGCTCGGAACTTGTGGGTGTTCAAAAAAGCATGGATGCCAGTTCCTGTAATCATCCAAATGGCTCAAAGGGACTGGCTTGAATTTTCCAAGAGGAACTGTAGCACTAAATGGGTGGGGCAGTGAAGGTGTCTAGGTCCGGTCAGGTTCAGTGGTCTCTTCACTTCTCTCCTCATATCTTGTTGTTTCCTTCCTCTTCTTTTGTTAGTTTGTTAGTTTGGTTTCTGATTTTTGGGGTGCTTGTTTGTCGTGTTTTGCCCCTTCTTTTTTAGTTTTGTGTTGGTTTGTAGTTGGTTGCAATGCTAAAGATGTCAAGGTTAAAGCTAGCTTTAGCATGTGCTTTAGTGTGGTTATTGTGTTCTGTTTGTATTAGAGCACTCGGGTGTGAGTAGCTCTCTGTTATTTGGGTCAGTTGACCCCCGGTTTGTATTCCTTGTACATTGTTGATATAATATCTTCTATCGTTGCGAAAAAAAAAAAAAAAAAAAAAAAAAAAAAAAAAAAAAAAAAAAAAAACTCTCTATAAAATAGGATAGAAAACAAAAAAATAGTGGTTCAACAGCAAAATTTAGTAAACATTGCAATAGAATCTTATTAAAAATCTGCTAAAACCCTGACAAATATACAGTTTTAACTTTCTAATTCCACAAAGAAAATCTGCCTTGCATAATCAATCAAATTCCATTCCATACATGGGCACCTATAAAAAGAGGTCTATAGTATACCAATGGTAACAACATACATAAAGGTATAAATTTGCCCAAAAAAAAAAAAAATCAAAGCGTTGATTTTTTTTTTTTCATTTTATTTTTTTAAATTGATTAATTAGAAAGAAAAACCAAAAAAACTACGTGCGTTCATTTATCTATGACTCTGCTATATTTCGAATAATTTCTGACGCACTCACACCAATTTTATTTTTTTTTTTTCTCTCATCGCCGTGCTCTCTCTCTCATCGCCGTATCCTAATTTCCAAACAAGAGAGAGAGAGAGAGAGAGAGAGAGAGAGAGAGAGAGAGAGAGAGAGAGAGAGAGGATTTGGTCTCCCACAGCTTGTAATTTCTCAAGATGAATGACCTGTTAACGGTATGTTTCTGTTTTCTTTTTAATTTATCATCATATTCTTCTTTGTCATTATTTATTATTATTATTATTATTATTATTATTATTATTATTATTTGAATATGATTGTACAAATTTCCCTTGAATGTTGGTACATTAACTTTTTTTTTTTTTTGCATGCATATTAAGGTTTTAGCAGCTGTTGGAATATGCAGTGTAATTTCGAGTTGTTTAGTTTAGCCTGAATAATTAAATATATGATGAGGCAATCATCAAATGATTTGTGTGCCTGAGTCATATACTTTCTGATTACTTTCGTCGTGTGTATGCTTTCACAAGCCTCGACCGAGAAAAAAGAAAATTTCAACCTGTTGTGTGCTCTCGTTTTCGTGATTCTTTCTTGCAGGATTCTTTCGTGATCCCAAGGGATCGATCTCGCGGGAACCGAGATATTGAATCGGGACTGCACAGACAGACGAATTCGGGAGAAATGGGCTTGGAAACTTTCTTTAATCAGGTGGCTTGGACACTTTCTTTAAATCATATTTGCTCAATGGACCTCGGATTTCAAGAATTTATACTCATAGCCTTTAATCTCGATTTGTTGCGTTGTTTTTTCTTTATTTTTTGTCTCTGTATTTATAGGTTCAAGTGATTGAGAAACAATATGAGAAACTCAATGCACACCTGAGAAAGCTTCAAGTATGAGTTTCTATTCTCTTGTTATTTCCCTTTTGTTTATAGTTATCAACATAACTTTTTTTTACCACTTTTTGCTGCAGAATTCTCACGAAGAATCGAAGGCCATCACCAAGGCTGCAGCTATGAAAGGTGTCTCCATTTAATCTTTGAGATTAATTGTTTTCTCTGAAGTGAATGTTAATTGTAGTACGCTGAAAACCGAGTTTCCCTTTGGCTTGAATTTCGTTCTAACCGAGTTACCCTTTGCCATATGAAGAAATCAAACGAAAAATGGAGAAGGATGTTGATGAGGTCGGCATAATCGCCCGTTCTATCAAGGCAAAGATTGAGGAACTCGACAGACAGGTATAAGATATATTATCATTTTAGGTTTTATTTTAGTTTGAGCTTCGACTTTTCCCAAAGGTGATGTTTTTTGTTGCGTTGATCTTTAATCAGAACCTAGAGAGTCGTAAAAAGGCCGGATGTGGACAAGGGTCCGGGATAGACAGATCAAGAACAGCTACAACAGTGTAATTAATTAAACGCGTTTTCGAATATTATAATAAGGCGTAATGCAATCTGTCAAGTACGGAGCATTATATCTTGTTATTATTCGGGTTTTCATGCAGGGCGTTGAAGAAAAAGTTCAAAGATAGGATGTCCGAGTTTCAGGTATAGACTGAAGTGCACATTATGTTCGACGTGCTCTTTTATTTCTTTTCACCTCTGTTTTTTCAAGTTTTAAGTTATTCTGTCCTAACATATCCATTTTCACAGACTTTACGAGAGGATATACATCAAGAGTATCGTGAAGTCGTCGAGAGGCGTGTGTTCACAGGTGATGATAACATTTTATTAACCTTCTGTAACTTTCAAGAAAAACTACAAACAGCTATGTACCCCTTTGTGAAAAAAATTTGACAGCTTCTTGTTTTTTCGTGATTTTCAGTGACCGGCACTAGGGTCGATGAAGAGGTTATATTATTGCCATCTTATAAAATACAAGCACATCTTTTTTTTTTCTCCTTTTATATTCTCACATTTTCCCTCTTACTAAAACACTTTGTTATTTTATAGACCATCGATAAATTAATAGAGACTGGGGACAGTGAGCAGATCTTTCGGAAAGCGATCCAAGAACAAGGCCGTGGACAGGTACATTCTGCTCTCATACGCATTTTACATAACAAGATCATAAATTCATGTTATCCCGATTTTTCTTTCTGTTTTGTGTATCTTATCTCATATTTTGCTCTTATTACAGGTGTTGGATACTCTAGCAGAAATCCAAGAACGACACGATGCGGTTAGAGATTTGGAGAAAAAGCTTCTCGATTTGCAGCAGGTATGGTTAAACTAATTTTTGTACTCTGATTTAATGCGTTTAAATGAATATTTTTCTTTATTTTATTATCATTATTATTTTTTCTTTTTGGCCCTTTTCGGTTCATGTAGATATTCCTGGATATAGCGGTGCTGGTGGACGCTCAAGGGGACATGCTCGATAACATAGAGTCACAGGTAAACTGAAACTTCAGTTTTTTTACATCGTTTGCGAAAAAAAGGTTTTGCTCACAAGAATTCTGTATATTATTCTCAGGTTTCGAAAGCTGTAGATCATGTGCAGAGAGGCACCAACACTCTTCAGAAGGCTAAGAGCCTGCAAAAGAACTCGAGAAAATGGATGTGCCTTGCAATCTTCATTTTTCTAATTATTGTTGCTGTCATGGTTGTTAATGTCCTCAAGCCATGGCAGAACAAAAATGGTGCTTAGCTCTTAACAATTACTGTTATTTATGTATCATATAAACACAATTGTTTCACTTACTTTTATCTATCTATAATCTAAAAGACCTAAACTATAACAAGTTTTAAAGAACTTCTCCTAAGCCACAATTCATACATTACCAGGTAAAAAGCATCGTAATCGACGGGCGAAAGGTGCCACTGAAAATGCTTTCTCGCTTTCAACACATTATTCTGTAAAATCGAGTACTCTTTCTCGTTGATTCCTTTTAGGATTTTCTTCAGAAGAGGGATATCCAATGTGGCAACAACAATCGAAAAATTGCGCCAGTCAAGTATGTCCTGAAAAGGGAGGTCATGGTGATTGGCAATAATCACAGGGACACAACCGTAATATATCGCGTCACCTATGCGGGCCGTGTTGACCTCAAAACCTTTGACATGAAGGCAAAACTTGCTCCTGAGAAGCTCCTCAGAGTAAGACGTTCGGAGGTGATCAAGGTGGACCGATATTTCCGAATCGTTTCCCCATTTCTGAAGAAGCTTTTCGCGGACGGGCGAGTTTCTTGATCCCGCAAAAAAGGCCAGCTTCGATCTGAATTTTATCCGCCAAAAGCATAAGCATAAAATAACACAAAACAATTGATGCAATGAGTTAATAATAAACTTCACAATAACTGAGAAATGCAATCGAACCTTAAACCCCAAAAGCTAAAACACACCTTGCATTCATGAGACTCGGAGGATTCCCTCGTCTCGGCCAAATTTGCGGCAAGGATGCATCCTTATGAGCGACATAGGAAGATAAATAGTAGCTCGACGAGCACACAACTTGGATTGCATTCAGCTTGACCGCAGCAGCTTTCTCCATGGCCGACCGGCCAATTGAGTGGCAGGCAACGTAAAAATGATCTGCCCCTCCACTGTTATTCCAAAACGGGTACTCACGGCTAATGTTGGCCACATAATCCCTGATAAAGTCCTGGATGCCATCTGTCCCGACCCGCGGATCATGCCTCAGCCTTGCGATGGAAAAGGGCAGGAAGAAGAGATCCGCCGTGGTTGGGTCCGCCGTAAGGAAGTGGCTGCCGAAAAGGGCCTTCTTGAAGTAGCTTTCGCTCGCATAGTTACCGCTCGGCTCGAAATCCACGGGCAAGAGAATGTTGGCAAACGGGTCGTCTTTTCTGTGCTGGTACACGTAAATTTTCAAGCTTCCGTTCATCTGCTTGTAGTTTTGGAAGAAGGTGTAGCTGTCATGGAACGGCCCCTTGTCGTCGGAATCACTCTGACCCTCAGCCCCGACCGGGACGCCATTAGCAGTCGAAATGCGAGAAAGTCCTCCGCGACTAACGAACGTAGAATGGTTATGGGAGAGATGCACAGAGGGCATTTCATGATCCATGAAAGCACCATTGGTGGGTTGGGTTAGGTGGAGAGAGTGGCGCGTGTGAGTGAAGAAGAAGACATTAGAGGTGGAGGAGATGTAGAGTAGAATGAGGAGGGAGGAGGCGAGGGCTAGAGTTGTGGGCATGAGGAAGAATAGGGACTTGAGAGTAGGCGCGGGGTGGCTCGAGTCGCGGCGGCGCGTGAAGAGATTGTGCAGCAGGTCGAGTGAGGCAGCTGCTGCCATTGTTTGTTTGTGGTTGATTGATCACGCTTGCGGGAGGTTGATAGGGGGGACTGAAATGAAGTGGGCACGGGGGAGTCACGCCACTTTGGTTTCAATTTTCATGTTACTTTGTCCCAAAATATAATAAATATTAGAGTAAGGGTACGTGTACATAATAAATGTATATAGAGTTGTACATAACACTCACATGTAGTGGGGTCTATTTAATTTTTAATTTTGAGTGGGTCCCATTCAATGTGAGTGTTATGTACAGCCCTATGTACAATATTATGTACATATAACATTACTCTAAATATTATTACCTCCAATTCCTTTTAAATTTTATTTTAACTTTTTCAACTATAAATAAAATAAATGACGTTTTGGGTTTTTTGTACACATTTTTTATTATCACTCTCCTTTAACTAATAAATACATCACGTCTTTTCATATTCACTCTTTATGTTTTTCACAAAACATCTCTCTATCTTCATTAAAGAGGGTTGTTAGAGCACCCACAATGCTTTGGGTCTCTTTTTTTTGCATATGTGGCACTTTGGGTCTCTTTTTGCATATGTGGCAAATAAATAAACTTAAGTCCATAATGACATGGACAAACCCAAACTAAAAAATCCAAAATTTATCTAATGCAAAACAAAAAAGTACTAGGTCTAGAATACTAAACAACCAATAAAATATAGTAATAATAAATTTATACAAAAAAATATGTTTCGCCTATTAAAAAGAAAAAAAAAACATGTGAACAATTAATTACTAGGTGGTTTTGCACTTGGGTCCAAAATAGACCCAAGTGTGGACTTAGTCTCTTTTTTTTAGTGTCACATAAGTTAGACTAGGTCCACTTTTAATTGCATTGTGAAACATTTGTAATGGACTAGGTCTATTTCCTACATGGCATGTGATTTTTTCTAAGAGACCCAAAGTATTGTGGATGCTCTTATTGGAAAAAAAAATATGAATAGGAGGGAGTATTATTTATTCAACGAAAAAAATCTTACTTGATAGAATTTAAAAATCGATGGCTCCTTAGAATTTTGGGGCAAAGACTGTGCATATTTAAAAAGATAGCCGACCGCATTAGCGGAGGACATCCGTTTGTTTTTCAGCTTTTTAGACAAACAACTGTTTTAGCGGTTTTGACCAAATTGAAAAAAGCTAAAATTGGCTTTCTCGATGTTTGGTAAGCCAGCTTTTGAAACTAGCGAATGGACTGAAAACGCCAAATTTTGAAACACTCATATTAGTAGCGTTTTGCTTTTAGCTTTTGCTTAACTATTGCCACTTTGCAAAATAATCGTCCTTTTTGCTTTGTTTTTTTTTTTTTTTTTT